CATGTACATATATATGTAATACCGTAGGTTGGGATATATTCACAGCTGCTATTACTGACGATTTCTTCCACGACTAGCAATTGCTTAGCAACTTGGTGCTATTTTAATTGAAAATGGTGTAGTATTGAAGCAAAGTACCCTAGGCTGCTGTACTGTTCTTTGGTTGTTGTATTACTAACTCTTGGTCTTTTTGAACTGCTTTAATTAGTTCTTTTCGGAACTACTGTCTTGCTGTATCTTAGAACTTTCCACCCATTCCAATTAGTGTTTATTGACGTGGGTGTGATTATCATCAGCACACGGAAGCAACAATTTGTAGCAAAGAGCTCTGATGTAGAGGCCCATACAAGAAGCTAATGGATAGAGGATGAGTCACTATTGGTGAATGGCTCCACTAAAGCTGCTGAAGAATAGATGAATAGCTGAACACTAAATATGTGGTGTTATTGTCTGAATATTTTTATCACTGCGAATAATTGCAGGCCTCAAATGTATCCTAATAATGTATTAAACAGCTTTGTGTTTGGTTTGATGGTATTTTAAGGCAGTTTGTGATCTACCCAGTAATTTTACTTTTTGTGTTGGTCTTTCTTGTGCATATGCAATGCACCTGTAGTATACAGTAGTGTACAGTAGTATACAGTGGTATACAGTAGTATATAATATTATACAGTATTATACAGTAGTATACTGTAGTATACAGTGGTATACAGTACTATACAGTAGTATACAGTAGGGCTGCGGCGAAGCACGTTATACAGTACTTAAGTACATTACAAGTTCTCTAAAGCTATCATAAGTACAAGTACATTCTTCAATTATGAAGTGGTACTTAAGTCCAAGTACTACTATTTGTCATGTACTTAAGTACAATTCTAAATACACCTTTTAGATCACAATTACTTGTTCTTACTAATAAATTGACTAAGTTTAATTTTATTGACTAAATGAATTATTACATCTGATAAACATTAATTGTTGAATGCATTTATCTTTTAACGAGCATCTTAAAGGCATACAAACCCTCCCAGCTATACTAAAGAGTCTTTCCACGGAGGCAGAGGAGGCTGGCATACTTAAAATGTCTTTGGCCATTTGAGCAACACTAAAACATTCTTTTTCATTATCCTTTTAAAAATTAGTTGGATCTGAATCCATTGGAAGGTAGGAAGCAGATAGGTATTTATCAATAGTTTCTTCCACATCTAAATTTCCATTAGTCATTTCTTTTACCCCTTCCATGAAATTAAACAACAATTTCTCTTTCTTCTTTTCTTGGACAGACATTGTAAATTGCTTGTAGATTCAATTATTGAAAGGTTGGTTGCTGAGATTGGTACTTTGATGCTTCATCTTTTAGCATTGCTTTATACCTCAATTTATCTCTTTTACTTTGACACCATCTGCATGTAAGTTTGAAATGAGGATCAACAATGCTTGCCAGTATGTATGTTTCATTCCCTTTTCATAAAGCATGAAATCCCTTTCTGTAAAGATTCTGTTAGCACTAATACAAAGAGGAGAGATATGTTTATTCTTATGATATTGCAATCCTTTTACATAAGGGACGCAGATGGGACACAGCTAACTTGTACAAAATCTGTTGCCTCTTTAAATGGAGTGAGTATCTTAACAATATCCTTGAGAATATTCCGGTCATGAATAGTAAGTGGTGGAGTACCTTCCAACATTAAAAGCTTGCTGTCATGTATAAAGAACAGGTTTAATCTTTTAATCATTATTAACTGTGAATTCCACCCTGTGGCATTGTCAGCTTGCAGTCTGTTATCTCTCTCAAGTACATCTGTAGCAATGTACAAAGGCAACCAGTTCTGAACATCGTTTGAGCACATTGCTGATTTGACCAATCTTCTTCATTGTATCTTTGATGACACGCTGCAATGTTTGAGTGAAATAGGTGTGGTGTTCAAAAGACGAACCCTCCAAATAATAGCTTGTTGGTTCCAAATGAATCTCATCTTCAGAATCACTGTTACTAGTCTCAACCTGACCTTCTCATTCTTCGTCATATCCAGGCAGGGAAAGGAAAGGTTTTTTATGTTTGATGCGTTGTCTGTCACAACATGCTTAACCTGTTCTGTTATGTGAAATTTTGAATGATTTCATTGAACCAAATGGCAGTGTTTTGAGCAGTGTGTCAACCATGGATTTGATTACATCCAAGCATAATGTGTTGCAACTTCCACTCTGCTGAAAAATAGTGCTCTGTGATTCCAATGAAGGAGCGGATTTGACGAATACTCCAAAGATCTATGGTAAGGTTTATAGCCTTGACAGAACTCAGCTGACTTTTAATCCCAGTACCTGTACTTGAGTACTTACTGTACTGAAGTACAAGCACCATGGTACTTGGCCTCATCCCTGGTATACAGTAGTATACAGTGGTATATAGTAGTATACAGTGGTATACTGTTGTAATTTTCAGACGTAGTGAAGACCATAGCACGCGTTTGCTCTTGATGACGAAAATACTTAACTAGGAACTAATCAACTAAGTATTGTGTATGCAGCACAGAACTTAAAAACAATAAAAAGGATCTATTTTTAGAATCACTAATAGTAACATAACCTAACCTTTAATAATAACATTAACACTAATAATAACTACAATATTAATAATAACTACTTACAATAATATTAAGATTAGTTTACTACCTATACAGTGGTATACAGTAGTATAAAGTAGTAATAGTTCACATGGTCAGCAGCATACAGTAGAATTTGACAGTAGAATGGAGTGAATAATGCCCTTAATGAGCTTATAAAATGAGACTGGCAATATAGATGAATTCGAACAACACAGATAGCCAAGAGAAGCATCCCCCTCCACGTCTGAGAAAATACCTCCCAGTAGAGAGTGGGTTCTTATTCCAATTTGAATAATTTCTGATGACATTGTTCAGTGGAAGATGATATAATAGATTTAAGTCCTGAGTGTTTGTGCTGCACCATCCTATGGAAGAGATGGTTTATTATCGTTTCATCTGTAGATTTAAAGATGCTTCTGGAGAAAGTGATACTGTAGTGTTGCTTGTCATAAATAATTTTAAACAGCTGAATACTATTCTCCCATACAATGTTCAGGGATAATGGAAGACATTTTTTCTGGTTGATGTTAGCAAAGCTATGTAAAATGCAACCGAATAAGGATACAGCCTCTGAGGGAGGCAGTCGACTATTTGAGAGCAACCACTGTTTGATGGTGGCTGTTATTAAAATCAATAGTTATTACTTTTTACAGAAAGAAATATTCAATCATCAAAAATATATTCAATCTGCAGCTTTTACTTGAGGAATGGTCTCCCAGTATCCCTCAACTGAAAAGTACATGTATCTCCTAGCAGATTGAGTTTGGAATGATTTCTGCTGATAAGTCTTGCATTAAAGAACAGTTGAAATGACAACAGACTTCATTGTTGACACGAGGCGATCAACAAGCAAGAATCTAGATCGTTGAATTCATGGTCGGACAATACAACGTCAGGTGTTTGTGACATCTGTACATTACATTAAAGGCCTTAGTGCATAGACACCTCCTTCCATGGTAAATTGCCTTTTAAATACGTCTCCTCGTTCACGATAGAGAGGACAGGGGAGGGGCCAGGACATACTCCTCCGGCTTATTACTATGGACTGGCAGAGAGAGCATACCATGCCTCCTCCTGACTGGAGCTCATTCACCACCATCATAGAGTGGAAGCAGCCACAGACTCAACACTAGATTGCTCATACCGCATCATCCTGTGGTATAAACTCAACATTATCATTCCTCCTGCAGACTTAACTGTGGCTTCATATGTATGCACTAAGACAATGAGTGAGTATATTATTGTAAGAAATTCCTTTTTTCTTGTTGCTGCCCTTTAATGCAATGAACGTCCTGAATAAGGTTTGTGAACTTTAATCTTGCTATGTCCTTGCTAACATCAAATTTCAGCTCACATACTAGCATGTTTCTTTTGTTTTAACTTGCATTATTCTGTAATTGGATCTTAGATCTCCTAGAAATATCCCATTTGCTGCAGAGTATTGTTTAATGTTACATATCTTCTTTTCTTTCTTTCATTGTATATTTATTTGTTGATATTATTTTTTTTAAATGAAAGTGTGTGACAGATTTATTGGTAGATAATGGTAGATTGTCATTCATTGTTTCTTTAAATCCTTCAAGTTTATTTCACCAACATCAATTGTACTATTAAAAATACAAAGCAAGTAGCTTGATGGTTAAACCTTAGTTTACTCCAAACTCACCAACTGAGGAGGAGAGAGGGAGGTCTACAGCACAGTGGCTTCCAGTTCCAGTCTTACAGGCCCCTTTTAGCTGTTCCTGATCACATGCAGTCACTGGCTTGCAGTAGAGCAGTAGAGCATGATGGGGGAACTGGTAGTTTCTCCTCATCATCCTCCTCCTACTGATGGCAAGGCTCTTTCTTAAGAACAATAATGATCCTGAAGAGCTGCTGCAAGATGAGCATCTTCATTTGCTTCCTCCTCCTCCTCTTCGCGTTCCCTCTCTAAGTTGTTGTTGCTTCTGCAGCTACATGTACCTCTACATGTAGCTCTTACTATTCTTGTGTTATCATTTACTGCCTATAATTTGATATTGTAGATGTAGCATGATCTCAGTAATTTATAGCAATCGTTCATCTTTGTAGTTTTGCAGTTTCTGTGTTGTTTTGAGTTTGATCAATTATCTATTAAGAAATTGACATGTTATAGAAAGTATTGTTTCTTTACTGAAAGAGTCATCAGGATGGTCTGTATGACCAGCAGAGCATTTGAGGAGCTTGAGGCTCTCATGACTTCTAGATTGAAGAAGAAGCATATTGAAGCTCTAGATCGATTATATTGTAAAACTTACAGCAGATCTCTATTCTCGCAATAATGAGAGACCCTGCTCAAGAGTTGTCTTTATTATTGATAATAAAAAATAGACCTGCAGCCATAGATGCTTCAGCCTATCAGTGCAGCTCAGCCTGCAGTGGTGTAGGCTGCTAAATGAATTTATTCAAGACAATGTGTTAAATAAATTTGTTAGGCAGCCTATGTCATTTATTGGGCGAAGCCCACTAAGATGAGTAGAGTTTGTTTGTACATAGATACTACATACACACATGGATATGAAACAGGATGCGCTTGATCCTTGGTGCCGGAAGTGACGTTTACAACACATACGCGATTGAAACGTAAGAATCAAGACATCAAGATGGCCTCACGACAGCCAGAAGAAATTAATGCACTGCTGATATTGGACGAAGTTCGTACCATGGAGGAGTTTAAAGTAGACACAACTGTTACCAAAGGCGTCTTAAGCAATATCAAAATGCTAATGCAATTAGAGGGAGATGATAAGAAAAAATTAGAGTCATTTCTTTTGGGCATCAAAAACAAGATAAAAGAGCTGTTATTACCAACAAACTTTATGAAATTCCATCAAAATTTTCATGAATTTAGATCTGAAATTCTGCCTAACATGTTATCTGAGTTGATGGATAGACAAGAAATACCAAATTGTTGCTGTGATGATTATATTCTATGGCAATGTTACATTGAGAAGATATTGGAGAAGGAACTTGCAGTTTCCAAAGTTTCCATTTTGGCAAAGCCTAGAGTCCTTACTCACGTTGAGCAAAATGCTGTGAGATATGTTGCTGGATCAGTGGTGCGTAAGCTCATTACAAAGTATAGACACAACACCATCTTCAAAGAATGCTTAGATGCTTTGTTATTTCAAAAATCAGATGTCACAGTTGATAGTCAAGACTCATCAGAAGATTGGTTAAAAGCAACTGACAGGGGTGGTTTGAAATATGTAACAGACTTGGGTTTTGAGCTATTTGTTGAAGTTGAGATTTTCACCTATCAACAATTATCAAATAAGGAAAATGTAGAGGAAATACATAAATTGGCATGTAAAAATGAAGATATCCTTAGAGTTTGGAGTGAATGTGTAATAGATATTGAAGAGACTGAAGAGATGATGCAATTATTATATGATATTGTTAGAGAATGGGTTAAAATAAGAGGCCACTCCATGGCTAATTATGGCATTGGAAGAGCACAAACGAAGAAAATGTGACACAGCAAAGAAGAAGGCATTACGAAAGGAACTCAAAATGGCAAACTGATTATTTCTATATTGTTATTACTATGTATGTCTTTATTATATTTATTTCAGTTATTTGTTTCTTGCTTTAACTCAATTCATCTATATTCAAAGGAAGTTTTTTTCAAATATTACTACTGGATCCAAATGACAGAGATTTCGTAGTTCTAATGGCCTGAGTATTATGCATGAACTGCTTTGCTGTCGGATTATCTCCCCTTGAAGAGGACAAATGAAAAAAATGTGACACAGCAAAGAAAAAGGCATCATTACGAAACGAAATCAAAATGACAAAACTGATTATTTCTATTGTTATTGCTATTATCTCACTATGCATGACGTTATTAGAATTATTTCAATTATTTGTTTCTTGCTTTTTTCCTTATTGGTTGACTCAATTCATCTACATTCAAGGAAAGTTTCCTCTTTCGAATATTACTACTGGATCCAAATGACAGAGATTTTGTAGTTCTAATGGCCTGAGTATTATGCATGAACTGCTTTGCTGTCGGATTATCTCCCCTGCCACACCGTGCACGTTGCTTTGCAAAAAATATTTCAACTCCATCCTGGTTAAATTTCTCACTTAAGACAAATTTGGCACCTTGTAATGAAAGCAAAAATGGTATCAGTTCTAGAAATGAATAGACTGTTGCAGATAAACATACTTGATAAATTATTGTATTATACCAGTGATTTTTAATCCTTCAATTGTCTGATGTGATAAGGTTAACTTGTTTCTTTCATCACGAGAAAGATCTGTCCTTGTTTGGGCATAATTTTGCCAGCTTTCAAGGTAAGTAAGAAAGTCATTTGCAAGCCACTATATAGTCAAATATTCAGTAACCTATACATGTAGCTGAAAATGAACTTACTTTTAAACGTAAATCATCCTTTGATTTGTATGGCAACATAGCATCATTTCTCTTATCTTCAGCTTCATACAGTTGTCTGGTATTTAGGCAATCAAATAAGTAGTTAAAATATCTGCAAAACTTTTCTGTTTCAGTTGTATCATCATAGATAGATGTATCCTGCTTCTCCTTGGATTTCCTCAAAGTTTTGAACATATCTGCTACAGACTTGCTTAGCACCTAAATTATTAATTTTTAATCATACGTGTAATGATACTGAAGTTAAAACTAACTTGAGCTGCAAGACCAACATTCATGCGAGAGTAAGAAGTGAGTTTGACATGTTCCAATTTCAACTTATTTCCCACATATAGCCCTGAACCTTCCCTACTCCATTCATATAAGTCAATAAGATGTTTCCATAAAATATGTCTTCCATTTATCTGTTTAACAAATTGGTAGAGGTACGTATTACCTAAAATTTTAACGATCATGCCATACTTGTAAATGACGAGTTGCTTTTTTTGACGAATTTTCCCAGCAATTTCTGGTTGTCTTAATGAGGTGGCAAATATCTGACATGAACCAAATATACCTATACATGTATGTACAAAAAATAATTCATAGAAAATTAAGGTATATGTACTTGCTAGGATTGTATATATTTTTGGTCTCAGTATACACAACACCACCTTTCATGTAATCTTCCTTATGTAGTTTAAAGAAGGTCCTGTTGTTGCCAATACCATCAGCTACAACTAGAACCACTTCAAGCCCTATCTCTTTAAGCCTTCTCACAGCAGACCATACAATATGGTATAATTCTTGACCAGATATAGCTAAATAAAAAGGTGATATTACATACACATAATTGTAATACCTACTAGTAGTAGAAAATTGTCCAATTGGATAATTGAGGTTAAAAAAGATACCTTGAACACAAATAGCAAGCATATGTGTCGCTACAACCTCTGATTCAGCTTTGACATCTCCTAATAACTTAGCTTTAAACTTCTTCAATTTTTCATTAATGTCACCAGTGTCAGTGTAGCCAATAATGTTACCTTCAGTACTATCAAACACTAATCCCTCCCTTATTTTCATTTCATCAAAAATCAATGCAATATGTCTATCAATAAAGAAGCTAAAAAATTGAAGTAAAATATTTACTTTTGAGCTTCATTTAGTTCAGAGATTCTATAATCCTGTAGTAGCTGTGTGAATGTCTCACTCTGATAACCCAGCTGTTGTTTGCACCAATTGCTATAATCCCTAAGAGTCCTCTGAGAAGGCAAAATAAGCATCCCGAAGTCTCTGATGACATTATATGTGTTAGGGGAAGATAGCATAATATTGAGACACCACCAAATGAAAAGTGGATGATATCGAGCTGCATTTGGACTACATTTATTAAGTACAGAAACCTATAAATTTACATTTATAATACACATATTATTAATTGAAATAAAAATTACTTGTTGCTCCCAGAAAATTTTTTGAAAGTTATTCTTAGATAGCTTGTTGATAACTACCTGGTTTTTTGAAACTACTGTCATCAAGTCGTTGTGCAAGAGTGAGTCAGTATCAATGCCAGATCTTTTGGTAAATGAATCAAGTTGAGAGGTCAGCTGTCTTTTTTTGTCAGAAAGATTTTTAATCTACCTTCTCAGTGACTTTCTCTGTAGCTTTTGCTGGGGTGTACATATAGATGGAGTCTTAGATAACGGTTGCTTGCTTCTCTCAAAACTAGATACCATAGATCTTAGCCTAGAACGATACTTTGTGCAGACAGAACATCTTCTTCCGTTAACAACCAAGACATGACATGATATGTGACGAACGGTTACCTCAAGATCTGACTTATCTAAGACAGCAACAACTTTCTTTGATACCGACAGTAATTTTCCATTCTTTAGCTCACAAAACTTTACAAATCGACTATCATCATTACTTGGACAAACAGTATTCATCATAATGGATGTAAGGAGGTGAGAAAAATCATGAATTGAAATAATATCAGGAAAAGAAGAAAGAGCAGAGCAGGAGTGTGGCACAGTAAGACCATTCATCTGACAGCACCAAGTATAATCATTATTCACTGTGAGTACTTTTGAGACAGCTACTGGTACAGATGATGAGCTAGTGTTATGCTTTAAATGGAAAACCTGAACTTTTTCGTCCATTGCTGTGACATGCCAATCAGTTAAAGAAGACACCAAACCATAGGCACAAGTAACAAAGGAATGGTCTCCACCCATATCATCTATTGTATCAGTGGCCTATATGAAATGATGTAGAAGCCGGTAAGTATCATGAGTATGTAAACAGGAATACTTACTCTGTCAATACTAGTACATACTGTGGACAAATTATCTACAATGTCATTACAAGAACCATCTCCAATTTCCATACTAGCGGTCTATAAAACACAAAAGCTCACTCTGTACATGTATATGAAATTTACCTTGTCTACTGCTTTCCTGGGTCTTGTATTCTTCTTTAAAACCCCAATCCTTTTCTTGCTTCTTTTACCAGGCATCGTTTGAAAAATTAATTATGTCTAACCACACCTACATGATACAATCACGATACTAAAATAGCCATTACTTTTAAACTTGGCTCAAGAAAAATAAAAAAACACATGCAGTCTATGTAACAGATCTCAATGTATGTATATCAAGTAACAAAATGTTCCTGTATTACATGTAGAACCCAAAAACGTGGCTACAAAAAGCACACAAAAGAATAGTAAAAGGTCATTATTTCTGTGATTTCTTTGTATATTCATACCTAACTAGATACAGTCCATGTAAAATCCTATACTCTATTTTAATCTCAAAATTTACTGGCTAACTATGTTCGAGAGTCCAAAAAAGGTGGTTACAAACAATCTGAATGACTGTCTAAAAGCCTTCATAGGCTCTACAGAAAAGGCTGTTTAAAGTAATGATGGTTAAATACATGTTATAACATGATATAAACCAAGGGCATAGGGAGAAAAAAAGGGAGGGGTAGACTATGAGGGGAAAGGGGCGCGCGAAGCGCGCCGCCGATTTGGCCATACCCACTTTACAGCCGCAAAATGGGCGTGTTCTCGCAAAGATGGAGTGTTCTTCACACTCAGACTCCGATGAGGAATCAGGCAAGACTCAAGGTAGCGGCAAAATCATCATTTACAAGATCATCATCTTCAATCTCCTCATGCTCGTCTTCAGTACAAATATGGCTTGGGTTGACTACTAATTATACTCAACTAAAATTTGCATAAAAATTAACAAAGCTTTTGTTTCTTTGCAGCTGACATTGTGATAATGTGATGGCTTCACTTTTTATTAAGCTAGCTAATTAATTAAGTTAATTAATTATGTAAAGACTCCACCTTAATAATAATTGTGCTAAAATGGCTGCTTTTCTTTTCTTTCTCCTGTCTCTGTTTGCCTGTGTCAAAAGTGACTGAGTGAGTAACTGCCAGTTGAGACAGCTACCCTAAACTTTTATAATCTTTGATCATAGGTGACTAAGGCAGAAACTCAATATAGGTAAAGTACTAAACTTCAATAAAATTCTGACTTCTGAACTTTAGGGTAGGCTATAGCCTACCCTAGCCTTATGCTAGCTACGCCCTTGATATAAACAACAAATAATTACCTGTTTCAAGTAATAGAGCAGCTTTTAACAAAAAATAATAAAAAACCAGCTTCACAAGCGCCAAGGATCAAGCTCCGCTAAGTATGACGTTCAAGGTAAAACTTCAAAGAGTTAATTGGAAGCCGACTTCCTGTTTCATATCCATGTGTGTATGTAGTATCTATGGTTTGTATGTATGTATGTCTGTACACGTACATATTCCGTATCTCCTTTATATATCCGCACATGCCTAGCAGTGCAATAGATTCTTAATTTCAATATTTCATTGAAAGTGGGAGTGGCCGAAAGAAAATAAAATGGCGATCAGCACACGGGAATCAGAAGTCATGATTTTCCTACTTCCTAGCAAGAAGATAAGGCAAAAACACCGTCCAAAGACTTCTCCAACTGCTTGAAAAGGTTACAGGTGCAATTAAGTAACTATGAAACTCCTTTTGTTGAGATAAACTATGAAAATCAAACAAATGTCACCTTTGTCACTGACTGCACTAAACTGGCCAGCCTTTTTATATCTTATGGCTATTTTAAAGTCAGTGTAGCAAGGCTTAAAGTAAAGAACAAGTCAGGAGTTTTCTAGCAGCAACATAAGGTAGAGATTCTGCTTTTTTCCCAGCTAATAATCTACGAGGCTGAGCCCTTTAATGTTTTACATTGTTTCTAGTTATTAGTATTATGAGTTATTTTAATGAAAGTCAGTGTTTGTGTGGCAGTATTTGTTTTGTGTAAATTTTCAAATTTATGATTATAAAACATTGTATCACTGATGCATTGACTGACTATATGACATTGACTACTGCAGAGGAAAGAGTACTGAGGGGAACCATCTGCTCCTGCTAGTGGAGGATCCTCTTCTGCAGAGGGAACTTTAACTCCTCTGGGTTATGAAGCCATTGCTTGTGCCACTAAATTTTATACACTTCACCTAAATGGTGTGTGACACGAGTAAGGATTAAATAGCATTGTGCCATTGGAAGTCTTTCATTACTTTAATCACAAACTGCTTAAGGCACCATGAAAACAGACACTTGCAAAGGCTCTATAATAATTGCTTGGTCAAAGGAAAGCCTAGGCGGCCCTGGATCTATCCTTTGTGCAAGCTTTTATTCTGGAGCCTTGAGGAAGTTGTCATTTTGTTCCGAGCAGCCGTTAATGAACACGTTATATTCATTATTACATCTATTTGTGAAATATATGTTGTTTGGTACATTGAACTCACAGGCTTTGCTTAAAAGCTGGTCATAGGTTGCCAGCCCCTGCCCCTGTGTCTCTAAGCAATATACATTGTTAATGACTATCAAATTGTTGATATGCTGATGAGAATTAAATTCAAAAATTAAAGATAATCTGTATTTCAAGCTGATCCAAAATAATCCAATAATCCCTGAGGCTGAAGAAATAGAAGACCCATGAGAGTGGTTCCTCCACTTCACCTGTTAACTCCCGGCTAAGTTTTGGCCACCTCTATAGCTACCATCATTCCTCACCAGTTGACACAGCCAGTTGCCACTTTGGACTTGTATAATTGCTAGGCCAGAGATTTGGTAGACAACAAAGTGGATATGTTAAATCAGCTTTCATTCTTTTGTAGATGTCATTGTCATTAACTAAATATAGCACCACTGCAACTGTACTGCTCAAACTAGAATCTTTATTGTTATCAAGTTTAAGGGTTTTTTCTTTCTTCACTTGATGCAAAGTAGTCAGAACTCCATCATTTGTGAACATTTTATCCAGTCTGGTGAGAAGTAGAGGGGTGGCTATTGAGAATCAGCACTACAATAGTGATTATCTAGAGTTGCTGCACGTAGTAAGATTAGCAGAGATCAAGTTAAGATACTTTTACAACAAAAAGAGAATGAAAATGCTCTAAGATTACAGAACTTAAATACAAAAACATAACAAAGAAATAAGGACACTATTCTACACAGGAACTAACAAAGAGTCCGTATGGACTAGACAAGTGAGTCCTCATGAGCTGGACAGAGCTATCCAGCTCATTGTACGTTACACCAAAGAGGGCACAAGGCCATAGGAACATGAGATCATACATTACTTAAAAGCATATGTTTACGTAAATTCTAATTAACACAAAATACACATATGTCATACATATTACAACACATTTAGCATGTACTAGTTGTAGTATATTATTATTGAAGGCATTAGAAGAGTATGGTATTGATACAATAACATTAGATTATGAGGGTCGTTCTGCGGTACATTATGCAGCGCTTTATCAGGTTCACCTACTCTACTCAGTTATACTGTATCTCTGTGCATGCCCAGTACAAAATGTGCCAGGATGACTCTTGATAATTCCAAGATCAATTCTTCGTAATCTTCTATACTCTTTGCCAAAATAGTTAAGCCTTCAACTTATCATAAACAAAAAGAAATAGCCCCAATTAATATGCAATACATATATCATAACTCATTGTATTAATGAATGTGCATTTCTTCATAGAATTCTGATTTGTATAACTACTGACAAATCAGAATAGTTGTAGAGATTTCCCACCTGTCTACATGAACCATGGACCATTAAGTACAAACCTAACAACCTTTTGTTTTTTTGTATTAACTGTGGTGGTTGCATACAATGAATGTGGTTTGTGTGGGGCAGTTTTTAGATTTGTACATGTACAATTTGGGAGTAATGTTTTCATACACATAATATCCTTCCTCCCTTATCTCAAGTTGATCTGTAGTAAGTGCTATTGTATCATCAGTTCATCAGTTCATCCATAAGATAGTAAATATACTATCTATGATTCACCTAACAACACATCCAAAATATCTCAATATACTCAACTAGTGAATTAGTTATGTCTGACATCAATGCATCCTTGACAATTAGGTCCTAGATAAGGAGAGATATAAACTAGAAGAAGACAGGAGCAGTCTGGTATTTCTAATCATACATACCAGAAATTATTTAAAATCACAGCTATATTACAAGTTGACTACTCTACAGTGTAATTATTGATTTCCATATTTGGAGAGTTTGAGCTATTATAAGAGAGCTAATGTTGCCTCAGCAAGTATACTGTAACTTTAGTAAAGGCAAGAGTATGTCTCTCCTGTTAGTGGTTGTTCTCTTATTCTTCAGTAGCTCCTGCAGTGTCTCCTCTCATCAGTATTATGTGTCTAATGACTGTAGTTCAGTTACTCAGTCACCTTGTAATCCTTTATCAGTGTATGCTGGGGATATGTCTCAATACAATAACAGCATCTTCTACTTCATTGGAACCAGTGACATTAACGATGATGTCAACATGACTGCAGTAAGGAATGTTACTCTACATGGACTGGATAAGGCTTGTCTTATTAGTAGCAGGAGTAATAAAAAGTCTATTCTCATCTATAACAGCAGTCATGTCATTATTTCCAACATGTTCTTCAATAATCTTCAAGTCATTGCTAGATCATCTAACAATATGACAATAAGTAACTCTTTATTTAATGGAACAAAATCTGTGAGTGTATTGTTTTTTATAAAATTAAACAATACCTTTGATGTTAAGGTATCATCCTCAGTTTTCTATTATTATGGTTTAGTTATTACGTACAAGCCTCTTCCAGTATGTAGCACTGAACTACCTCACTACTCACTAATACTGACTAATGTCACATTATTTAATTACAGTTGGATGGTATTATCTACTTATCATGGTACTTCATACAATCTGTCAGCCATCTTTCATAACTATTATAATATACTTCATAGTTATTCTACTTTTGTTTTGGGTAATAGCCTTTTGTCTTTTTATATTAAGAATGCATCATTTCGATCACAACTTAGTCCTATCTACCCCCTTTTTATTAAATTTAAGGAAAACCTAAAATCAGTTGAGTGCATGTTTCCTGGGATTCAATTAGTTTCTACTTTTGTAATTGAGGACAGTCAATTTTGCAATAATTGGCTTGGACCTGCAATAATGAAAGATGCCTACTTACCTCGAACACTTAGCAATCACTTATTTATCATTATTATGAAGTCATGTTTCATATCTAACAACACAAGGACAGGCTTATTCATTGATCAAAAACTGATGACATTGGTCCAAATCAATATAATAGATACTGAATTTATTGGAAATAGAGCAAATGTGATATCAAACAGTGATGCTATTTGTCTCAGTAATGTTACTGTTGCTAACAGTACCTCAACAGGATTGTTACTTAGCTTATCATTAGTAACAATTGAGAATAAATTAACATTTAAACACAATACTGGAGTAGTTGGAGGAGGATTAGCAATAAATGACTCATCGCAACTGGTACTAACATCATCAGCTAACTTGGAGTT